CATGCCAAGGTCCTAGGTGTCATCCTTGACTCGGACCTCACCTTTCTTCCCCACATCCAATCACTATCCAAATCCTGCCGCCTTCACCTTCGTAACATCTCCAAAATACGCCCCTTCCTCACCAAAGAAACCGCAAAATTACTCATCCACTCCCTTGTTATCTCTCGTCTTGACTATTGCTCCCTCCTCATTGGCCTACCTCTAAACAGGCTATCCCCCCTTCAGTCTATCATGAATGCAGCTGCTAGACTCATTCACCTAACCAACCGCTCAGTGTCTGCAACCCCCCCTCTGTCAATCCCTACACTGGCTTCCAATAGCCCAAAGGATCAAATTCAAAATAACAACCACTTACAAGGCCATCCACATCTCTGCCCTCAGCTATATCTCAAACCTTGTCTCAAAGTATCTCCCTAACCGTCCCCTCCGCTCTTCCAAAGACCTCCTGCTTTCCAGCTCCCTTGTCAACTCTTCCCATGCTCGCCTCCACGATTTCACTAGCGTCTCTCCCATCCTATGAAACTCTCTACCCCAACCTGTCCGTCTATCTCCCACACTGACTGCCTTTAGGCAATCCCTTAAGACTCATCTCTTCAGGGAAGCCTTATCCCACCACAACCTAACCACTGAACTATCCCTTTCTCAAACAATTCATCCCCACACAGCCACCTCCTCATGTATCACTTGCCCCTCCCTTTTAGATTGTAAGCCCTCAGGGGCAGGGCCCTCCTTATCATCTTGTCTTGTATTGTAATGTCTTTCTTATATTGTAAAGCACTGCTCAAACTGTTGGCGCTATATAAATCCTATATAACAATAATAAGTGTAAATGCAGGTACCCACAGCAGCATGGGAAAAGCTTTGACACCTACAGGTAGTGTCCGAGCTTCTTGTTCCCTCCTGTTGCTCCCCAGCTCCTGTTTAGCCACAGCCTAAAGTCCCAGTAATTATTCAAATTTGTTTTAAGTTGCAAGATGTCTTCAAGTATACCTAAAGCCAAAATATTTTTGATAGAGTAGGGAGAGGCTAAAATCCATGCTGCTAGGTTATTTTGTCATCTGTGAAATCTCTTCAAGTTAGGGAAATACTTTCTTAGTTGTCACTTAAACAGGTGTCTCAATTTAAAGAATTCCCATCTATTACTTTTCTGTTGGATTTCCCATCACTTTGTGCCCCTGTGATAGTGGTCGCCAGGACACATAAAGGGTTGAATCCTCTTAAAGGCGACTCAGATAGTAGCATTTTAAATCGGACCTTCCACATATTGAACGAATCATCTTTGATTGTCATCCTAATTCCCCCTTCACAGAAGCTATGTAAAAGCAAAACGGCATCATTTATTTAATACAGCACTACCTTTGATCATATTTCGGCTTGCCAGGCCTTTTGTTTAGCCACTGATGAAGTAGTCAGTGCCTTCCCACAGCCTGTTGGGAAGATCAAGGCACTAGAGGCTGCAAGCAGATATCAGGAATGTAATAGCAAAATCTCTATCGCCAAACTAATGCTAATTTAATTGTAGATGCACAGAGATGCATACAAATTATATATGTGCATTTTTCTGTGTGTACAATCGAAATCTTGTGAGATTATACATGCAGAGAGATCCACCTCTCTGCATGTACAATCAAAAGTCAGTATGATTGGTGAAAGCCTGTGAGGTTTAGTTATTTCATGTTTGAGACCTGCCTGTAGCCTCTAGGGACATATATTTTCAGAAATGGAGATTAGAATGACAAAGAAGATTTGTTCAATTTGGGGTAAAATGTACGCTTTAATGAGGTACTCATCACTGCTTTCATCTTAATTACCTGAAATGCACTTCTCCTTTTTCTTGCATTCCTTCATTAATTTACTCCTTTTACTATGCATTTTTCTTCTGTTTTTTTTATTTTAAAAGAGAACTATGGGGTAACCTTTTTATCCCATAGTTTTCATTAGGGTCATTCGAGGACATATACTAACATCCTCCCATGACTCAAATCTCAGTGGCTTTGCTGCCAGGACGGATCTCAACAGTATTGTTGGGATCCGCCCTGGCTGTGATGCTCTCGGCTTATAGCGGGCAAAAGCCTCTGGTCTAGGGGAATCCCGGCGGCTAGCGGTGACTGTCACCGCTATCTGCAGGGGGATGATTGGGAAGTGAGCGAGCGGTGGTATGTATTCTCTCACTTCCTGATCAATAGAGCCAACGTGTGACAGTTTCCATATCGCACGTCGGTGTGACTCACTCACCCCATAGTTCTCCTATAAATAGGTGACTGTTTGATACCCCGTTTTATTTCTTTTATTTCTTTGTGTCCATTCTTTTGTAATGACTCTTAAGAAAACATTAATTTATTTTGTCCCCTAACTGCAAGAATGAACTCCATCAAAGTTTAATATATTCTTCAGTTGCAAGGGCTAAGTGCTCATTTTGTTTAAAGTGGCATTAAGGCAAAATCCCCCCAAAACACACACAGTGCTAATGTAAGGACTTACCTTAAATTATGTCACTTAATCCGATCATCTTCTTCTTTCCTGTAGTTTTTAGCTGTCCCTCCAGGGTTGGTGTGGGTCTCCGATGCAGCGCTGACTACCAATCCTACTGTAGGATTAAATGATGTCTCTTAATTTGATCTTCTTTTTTCCTGTCCTTTTCAGCTGTCCCTTCAGCGCTGGGTGCGGGTCTCTGATCCAGCACTGACTCCTCTGCCCTCCTCTTCTCTGATGTCCACGGTGTCTGTGCGGGTGCACACTTATCCATAGACTTACCTTGTGTCTCTCCTTGTCTCCCGGCCGAACATCTGAACTGCGCATGCGCCCGCCCCAAGATCCTTTGTCGCCGCTCGAGAAATTTTCAGATGTTCGGATGGGAGCGCACGGCGGAGACACAGGTAAGTATTAACCCTTTTGAAAAAGTTTTTTTGGGGTTAATCGTTTTGCATATATCTACTGCTTGCTAGCAGTAGATATATTCAAAAACATGCAAGGGTTTAATAACCCTTTAAGTATTTAAAAAAGTGTAAAAGGTATATCTGATTTATGAAAAAACAGCCAATAAAATGGATTGTGATTGATTTGCAGAGTTCTGCCTCGGCGTGCAGATGTTTTAGAGAAACTTGAATACATGCCAGATGAAGCATCATACTTTCAGATAGAAAGAAGTGATCACAGGTAGGTAAAACATTTCTAAGAAGGTGGAACGATTTCTGTCTTGAAAATCAGAATGAATAAGTAAACTAATAAAATAAACTGAAAAAGACCCGTACACATGACAGAGACATAAAAGAGCACAAACAAAGCGGTATGCAAAAAGTTATGTACATTCTTTGTTTAATAAATACATTTTTAGTGCATGACAAAGGATTATTAGAGCATTCTTGTTTTGCTGTTGGAATTAGATAAAGTTGCTTCTTTTTCTGACTGTCCTGAAACTTAGATCTGATCCTCGTACTCATTTACCGAGAATTTGCACAGCAGCTATGTAGGGGTTACTTTAGGGCTGGGTGCCCAACAAGCAGCCCGCTAGCAACCAATGTGTGGCCTGCTGTGTTACAGACCTCTAATCATGTTTAGAGCACAGCGGTCTTTATGTTGAGTGACAGCAGCTCTGGTGGGCTTTGTTGTTTGAACCGGCTGTTAGCAACAGCTGTAGTCCAGCACCAAGCCTAGGGGCTGATCAGCTCCTGTGCTACTGCTGCCCCTTACAAGCACAGGGAGTCGCACAGTATTTCAGTGAATAGACACCAGGTCACAATGTTCCATTACTTTTGGCTATTAACTTTGCAAGACACGTGTTTGATATGGTGGCTTTATCTTGTAAAGAGCCCTTTTCCATCTCTCAGTCCAGGTCCAGTACATCAGAAGGGAATTTCTCTTCACTGCCTGGACGATCTGTGCTTGATCAGCTTCAGTGGTCTGCAAAGGTTACATTAGGGGTCTAATAGACCCCTATTGCCTCCTTTAAAGAGAACCTTTCACCATTAAAGTGCTATCACATCAGGGGCTTGTGAGGCTTGAAAGTTTAGTTGAGAGGTGACAGAAGCACATTGGCAACTTTGACACTTATCACTAGTGGCATTCCTTGAATGTAACTGTTTTGGTACATACGTAAATCAGTGGGTTTAGTTCTGCTTTAAGTTTTCAGGATTAGTTAGTGTTAAGAGGAAGCCGGGTAGTTTACTGCCATTTGTTGATAGTTTCTATTGAGCAAAAATTAAAACTATTGTCAGCATTACTTCTGTCTTGCTTGTATGAAAACACCACGAAGCACTGTTTGTATCTAAATGGCCAGTATTTTTTAATATTAGACTTTGAACATTTTACATTCATTGGTATGGCAACACATTCACATTTTCCCATACATCTAACTGCTTTGTGTGACTCCTCCTTCTGCTGCATCAAGGAAGGAGGCTAAAAAGTTTATTCTATACCCCGCAGGCCTTTCAGAGACAGGAGAGTTCGAGAACCTCCAGTGGATTATGAAGATGATTTTAGGGAACAGTCAAATCGAAGACCAAAGACTACACTCACAAAGGGCAGGTAACTCTGGTCTCAGCTTATTGTGGACAAAAGACACTGCGCTATCTCTTTTTCTCTATTGTGGATCATGTATTTATCAAATTCAATCAAATAAAATATTTACTCGCAATCTAATAAAGATTAATGTTAATAATGTTTCTTTGTGTCATCATTGTTGGACACATACCATTTAAAACTAACTTTCCACATTGATTTTATGAGTAATGTGATGTATATAGTGTATTACATATATACAATCGTAGGTGGCCACATGATCTCTGGCAGATTGTGTCACCATGCTGTGATTTGCTTTTGTTTGCCCTTTGATGCAAATAGCATTCTGGAACCCCGTTCTTACCTGAGAGTAGGTAGGTCTTATCTTATTGGACCATCTGTGTTTGTGACCAAATGGAATATCCATGCTGGCACTTTGTTTATGATATCATATCTGCTTTTCCTTAATAATTGCTTATGTATGTCAGATTCCTCTTTAGCAAAATCATGTGTGCTCACCAGTATAGGAATGAAACATCATCAGCCTCATTAGTTTATAATTAAGATGTCAGTGAATATGCTGACATTACCGTATTTGGCGGGATATAAGACAAGTTTTTAGTCTTGAAAACATCCCCCGAAAATCGGGTGTCGTCTTATACGCCGGGTACACAATACAATGTGCGCTGGATGTGCGGTAATACTGTATGTATGGTAGCTTCGGCTGCATACAGTATACCGCGCTGAGCCAATCACGGCGAGCGATGTATTCTATTAATGAATACAAAGCCTGCCGTGATTGGCTCAGCGCGGTATACTGTATGTAGCCAAAGCTATCGTACATACAGTATTACCGCACATCCAGGGGGCTGACAGATTAGCCTCCGTGAGGAAATGATTATTTTATTTCTTCATTTTTTTTTTTTTTACTTTTAAAATTGCCGCCGGTTCCGCCCCCTGCGACGCAGCCGCTCGCAAGGGACGGGACCCGTAAGACGGTGGACACAGCGGGGATCGGGGACAAGGTAAGAGACTGTAATCCTGAGTGTGGCTCTGGGTTACCGCTTATGGTAATGAAAATGAACCCCGAGCCACACTCGGGAATACCGAAATGGAGGTTAGTGGGTGTATTTAAACATTATTTTGGGCTATGTTCGTCTTATACGACGATAGCCCAAAACCTATATTTTAACAGAAAAATTAGGGGGTCGTCTTATATGCCCAGTCGCCTTATACGGCAATTAATTAACATGGCTTCCATCTAATCCTGTAAAAGGTGGGAAAATGTCATTTTGTTTTAAAAGGTATATTCACTTTACACGATATTTTCTGGAAATGATAAAATTGTTTATGAACATTTACAGTATGTCTGTTGCGTATTGTGTCATGCTGCGTATTGTGTCATGCTGCACTGATACTGTTGTGCCAGTGTTATGATACTAGTGTTAATACTCTTCCTAGGCCTAAAGTGGAGAAACCAGTACAACCCACAGAGCGGTCTAAGTCTGCAAAGACTAAGGAAGAGAACTTTTCCACTGGTCTTGTGTTTGGTATGGCTTCCCTTCACCCTTTCTCATTTTTACGATGTATATGGTTTATGTACTGTTGTTACAGAGACAGAGGCGTAACTAGAACCCTCAGGGCCCCGGTGCAAGAAAACCATTGATACCTTTTTTCCCCCCAATATATAAAACATTAAACCATTTCTGTTTTTATTTTCAACTTACTGTAATCATCCACAGAGGTAGTTTCAGGAGGGGTGTGGAGGTTGTCAGGAGGGGTACAGAGGGTGTCATGAGGGGTGCGGAAGGTCTTAGGAGGGGTGTCATGAGGGGCGCAGAGGGTGTCAGGAAGGGCGCAGAGGGTGTCGGGAGGGGTGCGGAATGCCCCGGGAGGGGTGCGGAGGGCCTCAGGAGGGGTGCGGAATGCCCCGGGAGGGGTGCGGAGGGCCTCAGGAGGGGTACAGAGGGTGTCATGAGGGGTGCGTAATGTCCCAGGAGGGGTGCGGAGGGCCTCAGGAGGGGTACAGGGGGTGTCATGAGGGGTGCGGAATGTACCAGGAGGGGTGCGGAAGGTCTTAGGAGGGGTGCGGTGGGTGTCATGAGGGGCGCAGAGGGTGTCATGAGGGGCGCAGAGGGTGTCAGGAGGGGCGCAGAGGGTGTCAGGAGGGGCGCAGAGGGGTGTCGGGGGGTGCAGAGGGTCACTGTAATTGCTCAGTCTTATACAATCACATGAATTTCTAGTGATTGTATAAGACTGAGCAATAGTTTGTTTTAGATGACAATACAAGCAGAGAGACAGAGGAGAGGGGGGGGCAGAGAGGAAAGGGGGGGGGGGGAAGACTACACAGTGCCATCTTACCTCCACAAACAGCGCTGCCGGGACTCCAACACGAGGCAAGCCCCGCCTACCAATGACAGGACGCTGCAGATGACTCATCGCTCCGGAGTCACAGAGAGATCACTCTGCTCTCTCTGAGACCCTGGAGCTAAGAGGCAGAGAGGAGAGAAGCAGCTCAGACGGGCACAGTTCCTTGCAGCCGCGGCCGCAAGGAACTGTGCCCGTCTGAGTGCGTGCAGACGGGACGGCAATACATGCCGGCGGAATCTCGGCAGGGAATGAGCGGCACTCTCCGGGGGGGGCCTCTTCTTCCTCGCTGGGCCCCCCCCCAATTGGCGGAACGCCAGGGCCCGGTCGCAATTGCGACCGCTGCGACCCTGGTAGTTCCGCCAGTGTACAGAGACATGTATACAATGCCCTATATGGAAGCTGTAGGGCTAGAAGTTTGCTAATTTGTGTGTTTTTGTGTAATTATTTGTATGGTCACAATATTCTTTTCAAAAACACAAATCGTACAAACAGCGCTCTTGTTATGATATGGAGAGGGTAGATAATGTGACCCTAACTAGTATGCAGCCCTGAAACCCAGGAGGAGTGCCTGTGGATATGCAAACCAGAAACAGAAAACCAAAAGGGCGCAACACTAGGTCAGCTGACTGACTGGGTCGGACGAAACAGGGAAGGTGACAGGGAAAATAATGTGACAAATGGATATAAAGGGCGAAAAACCAATGAACAGCTGAGGAAACAAAAGGATGAGCACTTACATTTTAGATCGTGGGACCAGAGGATATCATCCTTTTGTTTCCTCAGCTGTTCATTGGTTTTTCGCCCTTTATATCCATTTGTCACATTATTTTCCTGTCACCTTCCCTGTTTCGTCCGACCCGGTCAGTCAGCTGACCTAATATTCTGATCACACACCTCACTGGTACATAATCAGTCAATAGAAACTCTGCTCCACTCTGTCCTCAGTAACTCAATAATAACCCCCCTTTGGTGCTGCTGGTCTCCTCTTGCACAGCATAGTAAAAATTAGGGATGCAACGATACTGGTATTTCGGTGTTGATATTTTTTTTCGGTATTCGCCGATACAGCATACCGATACCGGAAGTCCCATTAAGGAAGCCAGGCGGAGTGTAATGACTTGCCACCCAGCTTCAAGCCGTGCGGTGTGCAATGACTTGCAAATCGGCTTCCCGATTAGCTGGGAAGCCATCTCCATGTTCCCTTGTCACCAGGTGACGAAGCATGGAGCCAACTTTCTGGCCAATCAGGAAGCCAGGGGCGGGTCATTACACGCTGCACGGCTTCCCGGCTAATTAGGAAGCCAGGTGGCGAGTCATTACATGCCGACCGGCTTCCTGATTGGCCATAGAGCTGGCTTCCCGGCCAATCAGGAAGCCGGGCAGTGTGTAATGGTTGAATGAAGGTCTGGTATTGGGCTAGGCATCGGGAGCATTTGGGTGAGTACAAGTACTCACCCAAATGCTTAGTATCGGCACCAATACTGTTATCGGGGCATCCCTAGTAAAAATGAAGCCAGGCTGAAAGCCACAGCCTGCATGTCTAAGACACTTCATCTCTACCTGTGCCATTAGATGTTACTGCTTTCTCTATACTTGAGTGGCCATGGGAAGCGGTTACAGATGGAGATGAAGGCTTATTTGTTGACATTTCACAAAAAGTCATAATTTCCATACCAGTAAAAACACTCTTTAGTATGCTTAGGCTGTGAGTGTGGGGAGAGAAGAAGGGCATATGGAACAGATTAGGAAGGTGCCAATTTGATGTTTATATCCTAAGGGAAAGGGAAGATTTTCCTTAAAAGATCTTCTTTGTAAACACTCTCACACATCACCATATGTTGGATGCAATAATTAGGACTTAGGGCACATACACTTCCATTGGAAAGTGCAGAGAATGCTGAAGTAAATCTAATTGTCAGCTGACCATTACAAGGTTGATGGCTACCAGGCTCCTGGGCTTTATCTAGCCTTGAACTAATAACTTTAGGGTTTCCAGTTCAGAATAGGTTAGTGTTATTTGCTTCTTAAAAGCTTACTAGTTGTTCCCTTTTTTTTACCCTAGGTGGGTCCGATAAAGATGAGGCTCAGAAGAGACGAAAGGAACGATATAGACAGGAACTTATGGAACAAATGGTGGAACAACAGAGAAATAAAAGACTGTAAGTGTTTGTTTTCAGATTTTATGCTCAACTAGAACAAACAGAAATGATTTACAAGTTAGAAATGATGAAGGCCTTGTTCCCACCGAAAGCAGGTGCGTTCCAGAGCGGTAGCTGCTGGAACACAAGAAACTTCTTCCCGCGTTTTGGGGCGGGAGGGGGCGTGGCGGTGCATTAAATTCAATGGCAGCGCTTCCACGCCCCCCTCTCCCCACCCGCAGTGCGATTGAATGCGTGGCAAGACTTTGCCAGTGTTGCATTCCACTTCAAGTCAAGAGTAGAAATTAAGATTCAAAGGAAGAAGCCGCTCACTGCAGTCCAACAGTAACAACACATTTTTAATTGACAGGGCTAAAAACTGCCAGTACACAGAGACTCCCCACCTAGAAGCTGCCTGCTGTAACGCGTTTCACCTGTGTCTCTAGGATTAAGCCCTAAATGGATGAAATGCATTAGAGCGGGCGGCTTCTAGGTGGAGAGTCTCAGTGTATTGGCAGTTTTTAGCCTTATGGTGTCTGGGTGTTGGAGGCTCGGTGTTGGGTGAAGTGGTGATGGTTCTTTGTACTAGTATACTAGAAATTAGGATTATTACAAAAGCCCATTTGAGGCTGGTTTTCCATGACCTAAGATGACACAGTCTCGTGGTGTGGCTGGATCCATTGTACATTCAGAGCTCCCAACCTTACCCAGCTGGTTGCTGTTGGAGTGAGTATTGATTGGCCAGGTAAAATACTGTAACTGCCTATAGATTCACTGGCCAGTCTCACTGCTGGAGGCTGATTGGATTGTATAATCAGATTCAGCTGCCATTTTAGGTTATTAGCTGCCATTGTGAGCTCGGGTCATTTACATCGAATTTTTAAACACAAATTTGTCCTTTTTAGGGAGAAAGAATTGGAGCTGAAAGTTGCAGCAACTGGAGCGATAGATCCTGAGAAGCAAGTGAGTAGAGTTTTTTTAAAATTGTATTTGTAAATGTATCTGACTCTCTTATTTCTTTCTGTCTCATTGCAAATGAGTGCTATGTGTCCTCCTTTATGAATGAACAGGAAGTGCTTAACATCACTTCCTGTTCATTCATGAGTTTCTGAATTGGCTAGAAGCAGCTCAGTACAGAGGCTATAAATATTTACTATCTCCAGTTTGTGAATGAATGGGAAGTCTCTGTGCTGAGTGCTTTCCATTCATTGAGTGCTGAAAAATAGATTGGGGACTCCATGACCTCAATTTCTTTTTCAAAAGTGATCTGTTTAGTCCCCAGATATTTTACCAAAGCTCCCCAAACAGTCAAATAAAAAGAAATAATTAAAAAAAACAACACCCTATACTGAGGGGCGGGGTTACAGAGGGGTGTGGTTACTGAGGGGCACTGCAAAGCTTTCTCGCACAGGGTGCCTAAAAGCCTATGAGCAATCTGATTGTAAGTAAGAGATTGTCATCAGACTGAACCTAAATTGCAAGGTACAGATTGGACAATCAGATTGTGAGTGAGCGATTGTCCAATCTGATCATCCAATCAGATTGTAAGGTATAGATTAGACAGTCGAATTGCAAGGTACAATCCAGAAAACAAATTGTTGGGTTCCCATCAACTGATCAATTATTGTCCAATCAGATTGTGCAATCTGATCGTCCAAACATGTGTTGTAGTGTTTTATTGAACAATCTGATTGGTCCAATCTAATTGGTGCAATCTGATTGGTTCATTCTGATTGACCCAATCTGATTGGTTCAATCTCATTGGGCGATTTGATTGGTCCGAGCTGATTTGTCCAATCAGATCGTCCGATCAGATTGGACCAGTCAGACCATCTGATCAGATTGTTCACTCAGATTGGACCAATCTGATCGCCCAATCACATTGGACCAATTGTCCAGTCAGATTGGTCCAATCAGATCGGACAATTAGATTGTAAGTTAAAGATTGGACAATCTTAACCACTTCAAGACCAGGTGTTTAGACCCCCTTCCTGGCCAGGCCATTTTTCAGTGTTCAGCGCTGCGGTACTTTGACTGAAGTTTATTCCGTCATGCAGCGCTGTACTGAAATGAATTTTATACCATTTTTTGGGGACAGATAGAGCTTTCTTTTGGTGGTATTTAATCACCACTGCGGGTTTTATTTTTTACTATATTCAGGAGAAATTACTGAAATTTTTTTACATTATGCTATAAAACAACTAATATTACCCACTTTTTTGGTAAAATATAAAAGATGGGGTCACGTCGGGTAAATAGACACCAAACATGTCAAGCGTAAAAATTGCGCGCACTCGCAAAATCGCAAAAAACTAGCATACCCAAAATTGGCCATAGGCGACGCTTTAAAAGCTTTTACCGCTCATCAGTTTAGTGTTATCAGTGATTGATGGCCCTAGAACTATTGCTCTCATTCCGACGTTCGCGGCGATATGTAACATGTGCGGCGTAATGGGTGCAATCGTCGTTTTCGCAGGTATGCGCACCTGACGCATGTTTACATGCGTGTATGTAGGGGTGGGGACTTTTAAAAAAAAATTGTTTTTTTTAATTCTTTTTTGTGTAACTTTAAAAAAATTGGGGGGGAAACTTTAAATTTTTGTACTATTTTTTTTTTTTCACTTAACTTTATTGCTATCACAGAGGGGGCTGAGAAACCCCCTTATGTGATAGCAAAAGAGGTGACAGGTCCTCTTTATGGAGACATCAGGGGGTCTCCAAGACCCCTAATGTCACCTAGGACCCCCCTGAAGAAGCTGATGAAGCAGAGATCTGCTTCATCAGCTTCTCTCCAGCATCTGAAGCTGGAGAGTGACACAAGAATGCGGAAGTGATGTAATATACAACACTTCCGCATTCTGACAGCGGAGAGGGGACCGGAGGGAGCTCGTGTACCGAGCTCCCTCTGATCCCCTGTGACAGAGGCACTATGCTGGTCCCGGGCTCACACCGGAGCCCGGGACCAGCTTGACAGCGGGAGGGGCGCACGTCTCGGGGCTTCATACAAGCGATCCGCCGGCTCTATAGCCGGCGGATCGCTTGTATATTAACGGGCATCGCTGCCTCTTTTCAAATAGCGGGGATTTCCCGCTCGCGCGCGCGGATGTAACAGGACGTGTATACACGCCCAGTTACATCCAAGAAGCTCCCGGCAGGCCGTGTATACACAGCGGCTGGCCGGGAGGTAGTTAATGGACCCTGATTTACAATCCAATCTCTAGTCCTATCTGATTGGACAATCTCTAATTTACAATCTGATCACATATTATACACATGGAACAGTGTGCACCATGCACTTTGTGTTAGTAGTGTGCAGTATTTAACATGTAGTCTGGGTTTTGTGTTTGTACATGCACCCAGACATCACATGCACACACGCACCCAGACATCACATGCACACATGCACACACGCACCCAGACATCACATGCACACACGCACCCAGACATCAAGGTGTACATAATGATGGGGAGCTGAATATCACTGCCTCTCTGTCCCAATCTATCAATAAAACCACAAGACATGCTACACACCGTAGTCCGAGCACAAAGCCCTCCCACTGGTCCCGCTGATAAGCCCTCATGGCAGATATCTGCTGTTATCAGAGAGCTGTGGGACTATGAGGGTGCCTCACTTTGTCACAATCTCCTTTGCCTTCACCCCAAGACTTGTTTGGGCTTTGCCTAAAGGAATGAGCATACTGGCAGAACCACATGACTTCAGTCCAGCAATTGCAGCTAATGCTTCTTATATTCCCCAGCTCTGAAATTTGATGGGATTAGTATTGGAGCTTTCATGCTGGTGTGATGTGATTTGTATAGAACGGGTGCTTTGCTTCCTAATTCTCTTCAATGCTTTTTCTAGCTAAATGAAGAAGAGGTAAATCCATTTGTTTTTTCTCCAAAACATTCCATCTTCTTTTCTATGAACATTTGTTCCATATCTTCACATTTTCTTCCCTTTTTCTCTTTCCTTGCATGCCCGTAGCAGTTTGGACAACATAGAATGACGCATGTGTTTAACATCTGCATGGATTTTTAAAATGTGTAAACTGATTATAAAACAGAGGACCGAGGAAGACCTACCAGAGCAAAGTCAATCATTCCTAATGTGGTGCAAAAGTAGAAGGCACTGTGTACATTTCCTACTTCTCCGACTAGTACATACCATTGTCTTCTACAAGTTCTGCAGACCCCGCAAGCTATATCCAATTATAAAACAAAGTCCAGGCCCACACTTAGACAAGCTCCCCCCAATTCTACACTAGAATTTTTGCATCTCACAGAGGCACACATTGCATTCGGAGCAGGTGTACCTTCTGGAATATCTTCTGTATGCACTTTTCCAAATAGGGTTAAAAGAGAACTATGGGGTAAGTGTTTTTCCCCCATAGTTCTCTTAAGGGTCACGGGAGGACATATACTAACCTCCTCCTGTGACCCAAAGCTCAGTATACCGCGAGCTACAGCTCACGATATACTGAGACCGACGCAGCCGGGACGGATCCTGACAATTCTGTTGAGATCCACCCAGCTGCGTGAGTGACAGCTTACTCTGCCTATCTAGTGGCAGAGCCAGCTGTACCCGCCCCCTCCCCCGTCCGTTCTTGCAGTCCGTTCTGCCCCGCCTCTCCCCGTCCGTTCCTCCAGTCAGCACTGGAGGATCAGAGCAGGGAGGGGGTGAATCTCTGCGGGGAGCGGTGAGCGACAGTCACGGCTCTCTGCAGGGAGATGATCGAGAAGTGAGCGAGCGACGGTACGTGCTGGCTTACTTCCCGATCTATTGAGCTGACGTGTGACAGTTTCATTGTCACACGTCGGCTCGAACTATGTCTGAGTGATTTTCACTCACCTCATAGTTCTCCTTTAATTTGGATTTACATAAAGCATTCACATAGGTTAAAGGTCTTCCAGGACACCAAGTAGTTTATTTGGGAAGAAAATCGCTGTGTACAGGAACCTTGTTCTGCCCGCTTTCAGTCAATTATATTAGCTGAAGTACATTTTCCTAATTAGAATCTCATTACAAAAGGTCAGAAGATAAACAGGATGCAATGTAAAAAGGGCTCAGTAAGTTTCAAGGGCCAACAAACATGAAACAGAAAGCATATATTTCACCTCCATTATGTTATAATTGCCATGAAGCTTATTATTATATTTTAGTTGTGTTATGAAACTAAAGGAGACATTGGAGCGACCGGCAGTGTTTATTCCTTGGAATTAGTGGGCAAGAATCCAACTATGCGATTAGAAACACATCTCTGTCTTATCACGTTCATTTTATATAGTGTATCTTCAGCTGTGATACATGTCTGAAACGTTTTATGTATTTAGGTGAGAAATGATTGAGAATATATTAATATCAATAAATGTAAGCATGTATTTGCCTTGGCCTAAGGTGGAAGTACTGCTGAAGTGTAGCACCTTATAATGCCTGTGAGTACCTGCTTTAGTCTTTTAATGGAGCCCCTTTAATGCTAAGCCAAATGTGTTCAGGGCTTTGACTTCTCATTGTCCATATTAATCCCCTCTGTGTCCTTCAATGAACGGAGAGAAAAGGATTTTACGGTGAGTACCAAAATCCTATTTTTTGGTGGTAAATGATTCCTGTCATTCAGCTTTCAAATGCGGGAACCTTTACCACTCACCGAGGTTCTAGCATTTCACAATTGAATGGATGTGGCTTAGTTCCAGAAAGGGTTCAAGTTTGACTGCTGTGGGAAATTGAGGCTCTGTGTACAGCCTGTGCCGAGCATCCAAGAGGCTCTATAGGAATGCACTGATTGATTTGAAGACTAAAGTTGGCTTTGTGCTTTCAAATGTGATTGTACAATCTATTTAGATTTACCAACAATTATGTATGCCGGCAAGTGAAGCTTTAGATTATTTTTATGTATTTTTGTCAATTTGTTTTACCTGTGTTTGAAGATTCTGTTGTTTACATACCTTTTAAATGTACACACACAAGTAGACGACACATTCCAGTGACTCCTTGTTGGTTGGATTAGTTTGAATTGTGCCTGAAAGCATGCAGCATCTGCTGTGCTGTCTCTTTAGAAAATGTTGCTCAGGGAATCCTTTGTTATGTCTTAGATGCTAATTTGTTCAACAAATATTGTATATATAGTAAAAAGAAAGTTAAAAGGTGAGTTTAAAAACCTTTTAAATTTAAAAAAATGAAAGGCAATAAAATGAAGCTGACTCAAAACTAATTTAGTTTCCCTTTATGGGACTCTTGCTACATAGTTGTTGTCAAGTTTAACGTAGCTTGTTTGATCACATTGTGATTATGGGCAGCTAGAGGTTTCAAATTAAGTTTTTGTGTTCCTGGGTAGTCACTTACATCCAGGGCTCGGGCTGTATACATGGCCTTAGATACTCTTAAAGGGTAATTCCACTTTCCCAGGTGAATTTTGGAAAATGGAATTACCCCTTCCAATCTGGCCCCCCTCTGCCCCCCACTATACTTACCCTTCCCCTATGCCGGTGCGGGTGTAATATCCGTACATCTGTACCCTTTAAATATGTATAGCTAGCTTAAAGAAAAACAACTCAAAAAGTAAAGATTTACTATGTTATCGAGAACATATAAAAGTGTCAATTGTGCCCAGACAAAACTCTACCTTTTGTCTGGAATTCCTCCTGAAAAATAGCAGTCCACTTCCTGATATGTCCAGGTGCCCAGGCACTAATGTGCCCACAGTCTCATAGCTGTGTATGTATAGTGTGAGATATAAGGCACTGCTGCCTCTGACTTAGGAGATTTGCAGTGAGATTTGGTGATGTCCAGCTGTTGTTTTTGCTTGATGCTCTGACATGAGGAAGCAAAACTCTGCCTCTACCAAGATAGTCACCTCCTGACAGAGACACAATGCAGAACAAGGATGGTATGTTAGTAGCGGGAAAAGATCAGTTGAAGTGAAGACCACAGGCAATACTGGTGACTTGTCCTTTGCCATCCAACTGCCTTTATTTGGCAAACCCTTTTTCACTTTCACACAGGCACTTGTACTGCACTTTAACCCTGTTGCTATCCTTGGCCTTTAGGCCAGGTAAAGTTTAGTTACATAGTATTTGAGGTTGAATAAAGACACAGGTCCTTCAAGTTCAAACTTTGTGTGTCTGTATGTGATTGTACACGAGTCCCTGTGTGTTCAAGTTTTTAAGAGTACCTGTACCCCTGTATGTTATGGTCTCCGAGGAAGGTACCTAAATGCTTTTTGAATGATTCAATACTCTCCGCTGATACCACTGCTTGTGGCTGCGAGTTCCAGACCCTAACCGCTCTAACTGAAAAGAAGCCCCTTGTGGTTAAATCTTTTCCCCACCAATTTTAGGTGGTGGTCTCTAGTCCTTGTTACGGAGTTTACAGTAACAAGTTTATTGCTGGTGTTGCTATCACCACTAAACATTTTGTACATCAAAATCATGTCCCCTCTTAGTCTCCTCTCTTCCAGCATGAACAAGTTTAAGTTTAATAACCTTTTCTCATAGCTTTGGTCCTCCATCCCCTTAATTAGTTTAGTTGCCCGTCTCTGGACTATCGCCAGCTCAAGGACATCCTTTCTGTTGACTGGTGACCAAAACTGGACGGTTTTCCATTTCTGCCTTCCCTAGTGGAGAACCACTTCGGAAAGAAGATTATGAAAAAAGACTTTAAGGTGAACTCTGTAGAGTGAAGGTCTTCTACATCTTTCGATTCTGTAATAAAAATGTTTTTTTTTCTATATCTATGGCAGTGATTGTAAAATGAAGAATAAAATATGCATAATATAAATGGTAGGATAATGCATACTGGACACAATCTATTACCATTGTCTTCTTTTCAATATCTCTTGTATATCAAAACTAAAATGATTAATTTGATGAAATTGTGGTCTTTGTTTTTCTTCTCTTGATAGCCAGACAGGTTGAGACAGTTTGGAGCAATAAATCGTCAGCAGGATATGCCTGATAGAAATGTTCCCTTTCGACCTGGAGTGCTCATTGACTCGGAGAAGACAGGCAGAAGGGTCGAGAATAAGCCAGTCATTGAAGAGAAGGCTCCACCTGAAAGACCAAGAGTGGCTTTCCAGACTCCCGTCCCTGAGCCAGCTGTCACTGGAAGTGGATATGCTGTAGCCTACAATCCAGCACAAGAGGATTTCCACCGAGGAATATTGAGCACACTGGGAGAAATAGTTGCCCCCAGGTAAGCTATGTGATCAGTCACTGTGATATACATGGTCAGTCTCAGAAGCCTGTCTTGTGCTCCTGATGTTTGTGTCAGGAAAGCAGGTCATTGTTCCAGATATAAACAATGAGATTGCGCAATACCTTTATCAGAATGTGCTCACTGACATTGCCACAATGTGCTTGCTGGTACTGTCAGGCTAGACAGTATTCATTCTGTAAATAACTGTCATCAGATGTAAAATTCCAGAATTCTGAACAGCTTTTGCTTTGCATGTTCTGAATATAAATGATACACTATTTATTTTATGCAGCTGCACTATCAGTAGCAGCAATAACATTATCCTGAGCTAGGGAATATTACCAAACTAACAGTGTTATATTTCATACATATGCTTTTAGGATTGCAGCTGTTCCTCCACCTCAACCACCAGTCCTGGTAGACCATTATCGAACACCTTATGATGATGCCTACTATTACTATGGTGCTCGGAACCCACTGGATCCAAACCTAGCCTACTGTAAGTGAAATGTCTCCTGCTGCTATAGCATACACTGTCCAAAATATGAATTAAAGCATATGGTCACTGAGATATATCCAACAGCAGCTTTGACTGGACAGGTAACAATGAAGGTCTACCCAGCATAACTGTAATGACCAAATCCACCCTCACTATTCAACGTGACTTTATTATCCTAATACTGTAAGCTTACTGTAGTGCTGGCTAGGATAGCAACAGATGAGAATGTCATTAATGGAAGTTTGTAACTTATTGTTGGATAACCCATGGCTTTTCATGTGACAGCGACGTGCTTTCAGCATAGCACCTGTTTATATTGTGCTTAAACTATACATAAAATGATTTCTACATGAGCTAGGGTTAACTATCATTCATTGGTTATTTAAATACGGATTGGTATGTCCATATGTATGATCTTTTTTGGCTGCTTAGTTTTCTGCTTTGGTCACCCTTTTAATCCAGTAACTAGCCTATTGCCTATATAAACCTACCCCTTTTATTCGTAATAGTGGTTCATTTCCCCTACAAACCAGCTCCTTTTATTGGTTATGAGTGGTTCATTGCCCCTACAAACCTCTTTGTATTGGTTATGAGTATTTCATTTAAGACAGGCAGAAGGGTCGAGAATAAGCCAGTCATTGAAGAGAAGGCTCCACCTGAAAGACCAAGAGTGGCTTTCCAGACTCCCGTCCCTGAGCCAGCTGTCACTGGAAGTGGATATGCTGTAGCCTACAATCCAGCACAAGAGGATTTCCACCGAGGAATATTGAGCACACTGGGAGAAATAGTTGCCCCCAGGTAAGCTATGTGATCAGTCACTGTGATATACATGGTCAGTCTCAGAAGCCTGTCTTGTGCTCCTGATGTTTGTGTCAGGAAAGCAGGTCATTGTTCCAGATATAAACAATGAGATTGCGCAATACCTTTATCAGAATGTGCTCACTGACATTGCCACAATGTGCTTGCTGGTACTGTCAGGCTAGACAGTATTCATTCTGTAAATAACTGTCATCAGATGTAAAATTCCAGAATTCTGAACAGCTTTTGCTTTGCATGTTCTGAATATAAATGATACACTATTTATTTTATGCAGCTGCACTATCAGTAGCAGCAATAACATTATCCTGAGCTAGGGAATATTACCAAACTAACAGTGTTATATTTCATACATATGCTTTTAGGATTGCAGCTGTTCCTCCACCTCAACCACCAGTCCTGGTAGACCATTATCGAACACCTTATGATGATGCCTACTATTACTATGGTGCTCGGAACCCACTGGATCCAAACCTAGCCTACTGTAAGTGAAATGTCTCCTGCTGCTATAGCATACACTGTCCAAAATATGAATTAAAGCATATGGTCACTGAGATATATCCAACAGCAGCTTTGACTGGACAGGTAACAATGAAGGTCTACCCAGCATAACTGTAATGACCAAATCCACCCTCACTATTCAACGTGACTTTATTATCCTAATACTGTAAGCTTACTGTAGTGCTGGCTAGGATAGCAACAGATGAGAATGTCATTAATGGAAGTTTGTAACTTATTGTTGGATAACCCATGGCTTTTCATGTGACAGCGACGTGCTTTCAGCATAGCACCTGTTTATATTGTGCTTAAACTATACATAAAATGATTTCTACATGAGCTAGGGTTAACTATCATTCATTGGTTATTTAAATACGGATTGGTATGTCCATATGTATGATCTTTTTTGGCTGCTTAGTTTTCTGCTTTGGTCACCCTTTTAATCCAGTAACTAGCCTATTGCCTATATAAACCTACCCCTTTTATTCGTAATAGTGGTTCATTTCCCCTACAAACCAGCTCCTTTTATTGGTTATGAGTGGTTCATTGCCCCTACAAACCTCTTTGTATTGGTTATGAGTATTTCATTGCCCCTACAAACCTCTTTGTATTGGTTATGAGTATTTCATTGCTCCTACAAACATAACCTAATGGTGACCAGTGGCCTACTTCCCTTGAAAAACGGTCCCTTTATATTGCTTGCTAGTGGCCTTGTTGTTCCGTAGACTTGGTGCCCCCTAATTCTGGATTGTTAGGTTCTCCTATTATTTGCGACAGCAGACCTTCAACAGGACCTTCATCTGCTGCCATCCAGGGCTACTCAGCTTAGGTATGCAGCTCCCTTCTGTGCCCATCTTGTGTTTTATTTGGATCTAACCGATCCTGGTGGGTGCAGCTTCAGTATGAATGAGCAGACTGGACAGTAGTCTCCGGTTTTAACGACCTGAAAAAATCATTCTGGTAACTGTTTAGAAAGAAGTAAGGCAGCATCAACAGGCTTGTAGGCCCCTGCAGTGAACTGACCAGGAGAAGCCATGAATTTAGCCACTATGGCTGTTATGTTACTACCTAGAATCCATTAATAAAACGCAAGATGTAAAATATGAATAGGCAACATTAGTACGTTAATATTCCGATTGTTCCAGATACATACTGTATATTATTCAGGGAACATCCCAACTTTTAATATTTTTATTAAGTTAAATTAAATCTATTAATATTATTAATATTCATGATTTTTGTTGCTCCAACAGTTTGCACAGAGCTTTAGCAAATAAGGCTTACAATTTCAATACCGGAGGGTTATGAGGGTCCTCTCTCCCTCGCCCTCCCTCCCTCGCCCTCCCTCCCTCTCTCCCT